GCCGGAGGTGCTGCAAGCCAGGCCAGCTCAACCCACCGTCGGGAGCCACCAGCTCACCCTCCTCCTTGCTCCTGCTCCTCCTCGCTCCGCCCGAGTCCTTTTTGCCACCCTCCTGCTTCGACCAGAGCCGGCCCGCCTGAGGGCCGCTCTTGGCAACCTGCAAGTCAGCAAGCTCAAACTCCAGGCTCTCCGTGTCGAGTGACCGGCTCCTCCGGTCGACGGAGAGCGGCGCTGGCATGGAGGGGCTCAGCCCGTGGAGGCGCAGGTGGCGGGGCAGGCTGGTGACACCCCAGTTGCAGCTCTGGAAGGAGCCCGGGCTGTAGCCCGGGGACATTCTCTCGTCACATTCGGCCAACGACTCTTTCTGTCCGTAGCCATCGTCAAAGGCCTCGGCAATATCCTCACCGGCGTTCATCTCGGGGTGCTGCTCGCACTCCCCTTCTCCTTCCTGCTCCACGTCGACGACGTCGAAGGTGACCATGGTGGGGAGGGCAGGGAGGTTCTGGGTGAAGGAAGAGCTGGAGGCAGAGCTCCCCAGACTTTCGGAGAGGCTGGAGAAGAGGGTCCCGCTGCTGGCGAACTCCACCAGCGCCTGCGAGGAGAAGCTCACAGCGTGCTCGGGCTCACATTCGCTGCCCACCTGGGCCTTGCCGGCGGTGGTCTCCGCTCCGCCGCCACGCTCGTGCTCTGGGAGCCTGTAGCCGGGGAACATCCCTGCTTTGGCTGGGGCTATGCCACCGTGGATGGAGTCCCCAAACAACCCACAATCTGGGTCCGAATCGAACCCCGGGTTGTTCTTTGTGAGCTGAATAAGGCAACTTCCTTGGGCTTTTTGGCTCTTGCAACAGTTCTCTGGACACCCAGTCCCTGGAAAATCCCTCCACTCTGGATTTTCAGCTCTAGCCACCGAAACCCCACTATTCACACCCCTGTTTGGGGCGTGCGAGGCCACCTGCTCGCTACCAAGGCCACTCTGATTCTTGCCAATCGAGCTGGCTGCTCTAGTTTTACATTCAACGCACTGCTTTTCCCGGGGACACTTCTCCTTGCTGGGAACGTCGAGTCGTTTCAAGACCGGTTCCCTCTGCAGCTCCCAGTACAGCAGCTGCTTCTGAATGGCAAAAAATCTTCCTCCGTTTCCATCAGCCCTCTTTTCTGATCCATCATCTGGATCAGGCTCTTCTCAGCAGGGAGGCAGAAGTCCAAGAAATAGCTGAAGATCCCCGGGCGTGAGACTTTGCTCTCGAACAGGGATTCCTCCCCGTGAGAGGGGCTCATCAGCGCATCGAACTCATAAAGCGCATCGCCGCTGTAACTGTCGCGGGGAAGACGGTCCTTCTTGATCTCACCCAGCCCATCTCCGCCTTCATCCTCCGGCCCCGGCGTGGTGGAGTCGTAATAACCCTCATCGCTATTAGGGGCGGACTCTTGCTGGTCACTCTGTGGCGTCAGGAGGTCGACGCCGTCCATCGCATCCCCCAGGTAGGGGTGGGCTTCCGCCTCGTGCGAGGCATGTGTCTCCAAACTGCTGCTTGACACCTGGGCTCCATAGCTCCTCTCCCCTGCCACGCTGCCGTTCCATATCTGGTGGAGGTACTCCTCCGCCTCCTCGGGTATGGCCATCTCCTCCCCACCGCCCTGGTAGGTGACCAGGCAGGAGCTGCGTTTAGTAGCGTCTCTGCTGCGCTCCACAGAGATGGTGCTCTCGGCGATGTCGGGCTCAGCAATGTCGTCCCCGCACCCCGTCAGGGAATCAAAGCTCTTCAGGGACGTGACGTCTCCTAAGATGAGGCTCAGCAGGTCCCCAGAGTGCAGGCAGGGAGGGTCGTGGTCCATGAAGTCCGGCTGAAAGGCCAGCAGCAGATTGCCGTGGTCAAACTCTCCGTAGCCAGCGTCACCCTCCGATTTCGTATCCAGAACCTCCCTCTTCCCCGGCGTGGCCGCCGCAT